ACTACAAGTGCTATCAAGTGTGACGGGGTCACACAGCACCTCGCGCTAGAGGAAGTTATCTTCCGAGAGTATACAAACTCTCAGTGAACGGCAGTTCACAGGACCCCTCTTTATTTAAAGAAAGCGAAGTGACCTAAATAAGGTAGATTGTAAACTGAGTATATTTATAGGTAGTATAAGTTTGGGTTTAATACAAACTATAAGTTACCTATAGAAATGCAATGTCGTTTGACCAATGGTTGGCTTTGAACGACCTTGGTACCTTGTACCAAATATCCCGGAGTATGACGTGTCATACACCTGAAGTGTCAAGTGTCACACTTCATGTAACCAGGGTACACTTAGGGCTACGTACCCCGTTACACCCTGGCTCACTGGGAAGGCTTCGCGCACCTTATTATGACGCAGAGATTGACGCTGCCGTTCAAGAGGTGCTTTGGGGGACCTCTACGAGGACAACGAGCGACAAAACTAAGATTTTCCATAGCACGCTTTAGAAGTACATCGCTCTAGCTCGGAAAGGGATTCCACGCAAGCCCAACCGCCGCGGTCCGCATCCCATGCTACCAGAAGATGCAGAAGAAAGCCTCCGAGACTGCGTGCTAGGGAGGCAGCAGGTCGGACACCCTGTAAGCCGCCACGACCTTCTTGAGAAGGCGCAGCAGGTGGCTCAGTTGGTGTGCGGCTTGTCAATGGAGGAAGGCTGGCTGCGCCGCTTCCTGTGGTAGAGGCATGGGTTTAGTTTATAAACTGCTTATAATACCGAAATGGTGAATAATGACTTGAGACAGGAATTTCTTTTCCTACCTTAAGCCTACTTGGATCGATCAGACGAATCGAGCAGCTTAATGAAATTAAGTTAAATGTGGCTACTAAACTGACAAGTCCGGGCCCAACTTGCAAGCCTTACAAACGCAGCAAAACTACAGCATTTAATCAGTAAAATGTCACAAATAGCTGTGTGTCTGCTCTTTTCGATGGCGCAAGGAACGTTTGAATTGGACTATTCCTTTCGAAGATATCGACCAAAGTGTGCAAGCTGCTCACTTAGTATATTTTTAAAATCTCTGAGTTAATTTTATAAAATTAGGTTATCTTTTAAAAACTGAGTTATTACTAATAATCTAACATCTAAAATAATACTATTACTTTCAAACTTTAATAATATAATAGTTTATCATATTGTGATATTTGGTTACCATCATGTATCAATAACGTAATTCACAATTATAGGTTTTACAGTACCGGTATGAATACGTAGTATTTCAGTCAAGGACTACCGGTATTCGGCCCACCAGAAAGTATGGCAGAAACGCGGAGGTCGAGAGACCAGCCCAACGCCATTACTGCCGTGCAGGGCTGGGTCGAAAATATCGAAAAACTATCATAACCAGCGCGAATGGGGGAAGTTGGTAAGACTGGCCGTGCTGCCTTGGGTCTACAGAACAAACGTGCAGCTGGATTGTCTTGCAAGCTGCAGCGATTGCAGCACGAAGATATGTCTTCGGGGACGGATACCCCAGTCATAATGACCGTCGTTGACGGTCAATTTGACCGAGTGTCCACTGGCTACTGGTTGGGGGCAATATACAGCGCGCATGCCTGTTTTACATCAGGCCAAAGACTGACCGGAACTCTCATCACCGCGGCTGCAAAACAGGAACGATATACTGAACTGTACCGGTTCAATGTTATAGTAGTACATCATGTAGTGTTGAAGTAACCATCTCCGATGTGATGCTGACTATCTAGGGGAATATAATTGTGCTATATCATATAGAGATTTCTTATATAACTGGACTGGTTGGTGGAGTGTAACTCCCCTCCAGGACACCAGACTATCTAAATCACCACTTCCTCTTTAACGAACTCTACCACACAAGCGTCTTCTCCTTCTACATTCAAGACTTCCTCTTCACTATGGCCGCCTAATCCTCTCTACCTTTGTCCTCATTCAGTTCTGTACTGCCCTAAGTTAGGGCCCCTAACAACTCTGCGCAAATCATTCCTTCAACAGGTTATGAGCCCAACGCTTCGCCAGGGTACTGACGAGCTGAAAGCGGCAAGACGATGCGCCTCCAAGCCCCAACGCTCATGAAGGAAATCGGAGAGAAAATCGCCCGACGGACACCAACTCGCGTGAGGCCACGTTGCCAACTTGGCTCCAGCCACTGTGCTGTAGCACAGCATGCGTAGTTATTCGCTATGCTGGGAGGTCATGAAACCCCCACGCCAGCCATGGAGCTGTAGCGCCGCACGAGACACATACATTCCGTGCCACACCGGCCATTGCCGAGTTGTGAGGCCATGATGCCAGACCAGCCATAGCGCTGTACTACTGCTGCTGGTTGAAAAGCCGTATTAGAAGGCCACAGTGCCTTGTGCTCTACGTACATGTACACGTACACGTACACGTACACGTACACATACACGTACATGCATTTGATGATGTACAAGTACATGTAGTACATATTTAAGGCGAAGAACTAAATACCGCCCTCACGCACCAGCAGCATTGCTGTAGTGTCACGCCATACTGGAGGCCAAATGCCCCACTTGCGAGCTATAAAGCTGTGCTTAAAATATTCCAGCTACAAGCTGTGTATTTACTACTAGTATATGTGTACTTAATGAGATACCATTTTAAATATGTACATCTCGAGCTACAAGGCCGAATGGCACAGCTAAAACCTCGCTTAATGCAAAGCTGCAGCAGTCTACTAAATGCAGATCTACGGCTTGTTGAGAACAGGTAATCCACTACATTTTGGACCTGTAAAATAAAAATATACCTTAAAAAAACAAGAAAGAGATAAAATGAAAATGGGCAATTGTCCATACAAACATGTGTCTGGTATTTAACCAAGTTAAAAAAACGCCCAGAAATGTATGAAACTGGGAGGCAACAACGCCGAAACAATTTATTCAATTCGCCAAACTTAAAAAAATTATTGCGGCAAAAGTTTCAAACATTTCCAGCATAAAGAAAAAATCTTCAATGCTTTATGACTTTAAGACAAGCCTACACAAGCCTCTGTCTACAGAAAGCAACTATAGTTTTACTGCATTAGTTTCATTTTCAATGGAATCGATATTACAAACCTATTGCTTGCACTTGCGAAGTATAAACAAAATAAAAATCTTCGAAATGAGAAACAACTCCATGAGCCTCTAGGGAGAAAAATAGCCCCAACGATGAGAGCCTGCAAACAAGATGCGTACACTACCGATGACACTGCTAGATGTTTTTATGCTTTGAAAGCTGTAGCCTTTCTTTAAAATATTTGAAAACTATAAACTCTCCACACAAAAGTAAAAGCAATCAAATAGTAACAAAAAGCAAATACGAAATTTCAAAGTGTGAAGAAATATCCACAAACTAAAGAGCACAAAACTGGCAGTTTAATGAGCAAAAGTTTAACACAACTTTCACAAAATATCTAAATATCAACACGGTGAACAGGTGTATCCTCAAAGGTTTCCTGAGTACAGCGAACAGGTTTTGACACCTCAAAATGAAAGGTTTTCCTGAGTAGCTTTCTTCAAAACGCGTGCAACAAAAGCGCTAACAACGACATCCTACTATGGTGAACAGGTTTAATCCTCTACGGTTTTCCTGAGTAGCCAAAATAACAATAAACAAGAAATCTGTACAACCCCTGCCAAAACTGGTAACAAAACGACAAATCTGACAATAGAAGTCAAAGAAAAAAGAATGTCAATATCAAAACAAGATCTACCTCTTGTAAATGTTCATGTACGCACAGGACTGTTATTAACAGCCACCTGTGGTGCACCTGACAGATAGAGCATCATACACATTCCTCGATGTGGGAGGCTGTTAAAGTAACCATCTCCGATGTGATGCTGACTATCTAGGGGAATATAATTGTGCTATATCATATAGAGATTTCTTATATAACTGGACTGGTTGGTGGAGAATAATTCCCCTCCAGGACACCAGACTATCTAAATCACCACTTCCTCTTTAACGAACTCTACCACACAAGCGTCTTCTCCTTCTACATTCAAGACTTCCTCTTCACTATGGCCGCCTAATCCTCTCTACCTTTGTCCTCATTCAGTTCTGTACTGCCCTAAGTTAGGGCCCCTAACAACTCTGCGCAAATCATTCCTTCAACATGTAGCAGGCAAGGTCCTTACATTTTTTTTTAAATATTTTTAGTTAGCAAATATGTACAGTACACAGTTGTAGTTCGCAATTAGTCGTGGATTTGCACTTTAGTGACATCACAAATTCGGAATATTTGACAAATATGATCAAATCTAAAAAAAAACCGGTATTGAGCAGGTCTCAATCGGGCTCTTTGTTCCAGTATGCTAGGTTTAAAAATTTGGAAAAAGAATGGACAGCTGAAATACCAGTATATAGGGCTTCGATCTGTACACCACAATTAGTCAGGATATGACTAATTTAGTGTAAACGGTGTACACGTCTTAAATGCAACTTGTTTCAAGTATTGAAGAAGCATTGGCACAGTACCGGGTATAATACGTGTACAAAACCGACCATGGTATGTCGTTTCGGTTTGCCCAAAGCACAATAAAAGGTACTAAAATCCAAACAATTATAGCTTTCCCCATAAAAGGGTACAATAAAAAGCATGGCTTGGGTAAACACCATCTAGCATCTTCTTGCGTTTCTTGTTGCGGCTCAGTTTGCTGTTTTATAAGATTACTTTTGTTAGAAAAATATTTTAATATTTCTAACGAAAAGAAAAACACACGAGCCCTGCATACGTATTAATGAATCCCAATTTTCTATTTTTTTTCAACTCAAGACGGTTTACTCGTCGCGCCGAGCCCTTGTTGCCATTGGAAATTTATCCTTTCGACTTTTATCTGGTCACCACCGATAAAATAGGCACCTCGAAGTATGAAAATGGACCGTCGCTGCCCAAATGAGCTCGTCGAGTCCAGGTGATTCATTTTCTAACAAATCGCCCTACCTTCCGTTCCCTCACTTCAGAAATTCCACGGTGCGCAGTACGTTCGCCAGGCAGCAGAGGTTCTACTGTATTTAAATTCTGCCTCGCTACGATCCCTGGCTTCTACTCCCTGCCCCTAACTTTCCCCCATCCACGATGATGGCCTGGCCGGAAGAGCCGCAGCCCCGCAACGTTGAAGGAGAGTGGCCCGACACGGAGCTGCTGGAGTCCACCAACTTCTACCCGTCCGACGCTGGTGACGAACGCGCACAACATGGCGCGAACAATTTTCTGCGCGCCACTGACCAAGGCGCTGGTGGACCAGCTGGACTCACCTACTCAGCATCGTGCCCATCGTTCTCAGGGATGGACGACACCGACGGTTTTATGGGGACTACAGGCGGCAATGGTCTCATGCCCTATCCATTTGACTCGCAGGAGCCTGTTATGAACGCGTTGAGTCCCTCTGAGGACACCCCTTTCCCCGGCGACAAGAACTATGACATGCTGCTGCAGTTCCAGCAGGACTACCAGAACCCCTCGCAGCGCCAGTTTCCGCATCAGCAAGTGATGGGCCAGGCCACGGACTTAATGCAACAACAGCAATTGCCTGGAGGAAGACGTGGCTTTCATGGCTCGCAGTCATTCACTAGTCTCTCTAGCATGGAGTCCGAGTACAACCGCATGAATGGTGCGGTCCTTGCGATCATGGACTACGTTAATCGGTGCTAGAGTTGCTGACAAAATGTGTATGCGATGTCGAAAGCAGCTAATAGCAAACGGAAAAAAGGGACCGAGCGATGGATGAAGCTACAGCGTCACAAGTCCTTCGACTCTTCTACGGCCATTTCGGAACCTTTCAACTTCGACCCAAATGCGACCTTTGGTAACGCGTTCGGCTCATCTAACCCCACGCCCGACCAACTGCTACAAGAGTGCGTTTCGCTTGGCGCCATGCTTCTGATTGAGTTGCTGAACTAACTGGTGTCATGGTCATCTCGCATTTTAACAGGCCGCCGGATAGCGACATGATTGGATTCTCTATTGACGACTTTCCGCCTTCGAATGACCCACACTGGTCCTCAGTGTCTTATGGATCCGCACCGGATGCCATCGGTGGAAATTACATGCAGCAGGCTCACCAGAAACGGCATCAACAGCAGCATCATGCCTCTATCCAGTCATTAAATTACGTTGGTGGTGATATTTCGGTTTCCTCGTCGGCAGAAGGGGAACCTGTCTCGGAGCTGGATATGTTGCTGTCCGAGAACGAACGAGCGAATCTTTTTGATGCCATTCGCGATTTTGAGTCACCAAACACGATGGAGTCGGTCGATGCTCAGCCCTCGCCGGAACAACCTCCTCAGCAACCTACACAAATATCGTCATTGACCGAAACGAAGGAACGCAGTGGCATATCCTCAACAGGAAGTAAGAAGACCCCGGCTAGTCCTTCAGTCCACCCTGGAAGTCACCAGAAAAGCCCAAATAGTGCTCCGAGACCCTTTTCTTTGGACTCGGCTTCTTCTACTCTTCCAGCAGGCATGCCCCCCTCCGGCTGCGTTCCAATGCGTACGCGTCTCCATCAGATTCTGGTACATTCTGTACAGAACTCGGATGCTGGATCTTCGCTCTCGTCTTACGAGCGCAATTATTTGATGCAGTCGCCATTGTTTTTCCCCGCGAAAGCACCCGAGACGGCGGGGTCCTTGTGGCTATTGTTGCATGCTGCTCAGTGTGAAAGCGGGTGTGAAATTGGCGGATGCAGTGTCATGCGTCGAGTTCTAAATCACTGTCTTGGATGCGAACTGGTTGTTGGCAAGTGCAAGCAACCCTGTAACGATGCCAAGGCTATGCTTCTCCACTACGGCTCGTGTAACAGCAAGGGTAGTATGCACGGACGTTCATGCTCTGTGTGTTGGAACCTGCTGGAGATCGATTATTCTCATCAGGCACTGAGCAACGGCAACGGTAGTGGACGCTCCAGTGGCCAAACACCCAGCACCGCTCCGTCATCGTTCGTATCGACATCACCGTCCCCGCTAATGGGGACTCCACCGCTTGTACCAATGCCGATGAGCCCTCGTTTGGGCAGCTCACCAGCATACCGTTCACCATCGAGGCGCTCCACAAGTACAGCAACCACGAAGCACGTTCCTATCCAGCCAAATCCGCTCCCGACGGCCTCCAACCCGATGGGACTTATGGGCGCTTTACCACCCCATTTCGGGTACTCTCTTTCATTGTATCTGGAGCAGACATCCGCTCCGTTCCGTGCGGAGGTTAAGTCTCGTGTTGAGAAGCGCGTGACTGCTGCCGCCGGTCAAGACTTGCTGCAGCACATGCAGAAGAAGACGCGACTGCGTAGCCTGGACGACCTCCGGTCTGAGGCTCGAACTGTCGTGCTGGGAGAGATGGAGCGGGAACTTCATCTGCATATGCAGGCGTACAGTTGGGCCAGCTCGACCTCGAGCGGCAGGTTACCTGATGGAGCCTCGCAACTACCTCCGTACCTGCTCAACTTCTCGGTGGCTGGATTCGGTGCCTTTCAAGCGCAGCAGGCGGCATTCCAGACGGCGGGGTCGTCACTACCACCTGCAGCACCTTCAACATCGCCGCCGGTCGGTACTCGACGATCCGCTAAGCTTGCTAGCCCCAAGCGGTAGCTCGCCCAATGTTCATACTTGCGGAAAGTGAACTTGCAAGAGGTATTGAAGTGCCGTATTGAGTCATGTGACGGGAGTTGTGATAATTTATTCATTAATTGTCTTACTTAAACGCTCGCCTATTGGCTAATAGAAGCCATAACTGACTGCTAATTGGCAAAAAAACTGGTTGTAATATCACACCACCAAAATCGATCAAGATGGTGCGTCCGAAGCTGACGTCGCAGGTGCCTCGCCTGGCACGAGCTTTGAGCACCTCTCGCGCCCTTCAGACAGAGTATGACTATCTGGTGATTGGTGCTGGTAGTGGGGGTATGGCTAGCGCACGCCGCGCTGCCAGCTACCCTGGTACGCGCGTGGCGGTTGTGGAGCAGGCCCGACTAGGTGGCACCTGCGTCAACGTAGGCTGCGTACCCAAGAAGCTGATGTTCATCGCCGCTGACATGAGTCACAAGCTGCGTCATGACCTCTTGCACTATGGCTTCGAGGACGAGGCGACGGGGGGCCATTTGGGTAAGCGGACGCACTTTGACTGGCCGAAGCTCAAAGCTGGTCGTGACGCCTACGTTTTGCGTCTTAATGGAATTTATGAACGGTAAAGGATCGACGAGGGCATTAGTACAACAGTAGAGAAAGCGACGAATCGCTGCAATGTAAATGGGGATATCATCCTGATGTTGCTTCTGTATGCTAGCAGGAACTTGGCGAATTCCAAGGTGGAGTTGATCCGAGGACTAGCGACGTTTAACGAGAAGGGAAATGTGGAAGTGGGCGGAAAGGAACTACTGGCCAAGAATGTACTGATTGCAGTTGGAGGCAAGCCGCTGATTCCTGACCTTCCGGGTATGTATTTGCCTGTCAAGTGAGCCTTGATCTCGTGCTGTTAATCTTACTTTGAACCTGAAATTCGACAGGCAAAGAACTGTGTATCGATTCGGACGGGTTCTTTGAGCTGGAAACTCTGCCCAAGAAGGTAGCTGTCGTGGGTGCTGGTTACATTGCAGTAGAGCTGGCGGGCGTGCTCAACGCGCTAGGCTCAGATACGTCTCTCTTTTGCCGCAAGGAAGGTGTACTTCGTGCTTTCGATGTACGTTGCTTGGCCAGCTTGTTTTGACAAATAAATGTCTTATCCGTGCTTCTTGATGGCAGGATATTGTGCGCACAACGTTGGAGGACGCCATGGCGAAGGAGGGCGTGCACCTGCGACCTCACAGCAATGTAGCTCGGGTGGAACTCGGTGCCGATGGCACAAAGACGTTGGTGCTCACTGACGGCTCGAAATACAGTGGTTATGATGTTGTGATCTACGCTGCTGGGCGGGTACCACTGACGTCAAATCTTCAGCTCGATAAGGCGGGCATCACTACGGACGAGCACGGTTTTATTCCAGTGAACGAACTCCAAGAAACCTCCAACAGCAAAGTGCTCGCAGTTGGCGATGTGTGCGGTACTCCAGCACTGACTCCCGTTGCAATTGCTGCTGGAAGGAGGCTCTCGGACCGTCTGTTTGGTGGTATGAATGATGCCAAGGTCTCGTATGAAAACATCCCGACTGTCGTGTTCAGCCACCCTCCCATCGGTACAATTGGCCTGACCGAAGAACAAGCCCGTCGCAAATATGGCGACGACGCCATCAAGGTGTACACGAGCCGCTTTGTAAATATGTATTACGGGCTGATCAACGAGGTGGACGAATCAACTGGAGAGCCGAAGGACAAGCCCAAGACGGCCATGAAGCTCGTGTGCGCTGGCAAAGAGGAGAAAGTTGTGGGTCTGCACATGATCGGCATGGCTGCCGACGAGATCCTGCAGGGCTTTGGCGTGGCCGTAAAGATGGGTGCTACCAAGGCCGATTTTGACAATTGCATCGCGATCCACCCGACTGCAGGCGAGGAGCTCGTGACACTGGCGCCCTGGGGGCTCAGCGGACGCAGTTGAAGATAGACGTTTCCATCTGAATAATTGCGACGTGGTAGAGGGCTACAGAACTGGTTAAATTTAAGATTCAGCAGTGATTCAGTCGCTCAAATGACCGGTCGCTCATTTGAATTTCTTCAAAACTGAGATGTCGCTGTTTGCTCTTGAAAAGGCAAAAATTGAACTCGTCTACGACTTAGGCCGTTTTCACTACTCCCTTCAAGAGAGTCTCTTGTGGCTGTATCCGTAGCGTGGTTACCAGATCTGGAGTGATCTGTCGATTGGGTTTTATCCCTAACACCAGGAATGTCCCTGAGATGAGATTCTCGGCGGTTTTTTGGCTGGCACCTAACCCCGATCCTGAGAACGATGATACATCGACTTTTGTCCGGAGTCGGTTTCTACACTTGGCTTCACTATGTCGCTTCAACTTCGCATTCATCCGACCCTTCGTCATTTTCTCTTTGTCGTTGACCTCCAGCATTCCTCCACCTCCATGGCTAGCGACAAGCGTCCGATTCTCTCCGGCAAGCGCATCCGCAACCGCAGGAAACGCGCCGCGCTGCGCGCCGCCAACCGATCCAACGCATCTCCAACACCCGAGTGCGACAGTGACGATGACGCTAAGCAGAAGCAGCAAGAGCAGCACTATGGGTCCCGCGACGACTCCACCAGCAGCGACAAGACCGCGTCGCAGAGCGAAAACGAGGAGGGGATTGACCCCAGCCTCGTATTCGTGTGCCGCCCCACGATGCCTGACTTCTGCACCGTTTTCCAACCGCGAGGCGAGGATCCGAAGTCCAACCGCTCGTGTGCAAGTGCAGCAGACTGTAAGACATTTACTGTGCATGTCCCGACATTCCAGGAGACGTGTGAGGGTTACGTTACCTACACACTGGAACTTATAACATGTGACGCCCAACGCCAAACTTTCCAGGTCGAACGTCGCTTTTCCGAGTTTGTTGCGTGCGCGGTCGAGATTAACAAGCAACTTGCCAGCGGCTTTGCTGCTCGCTGCTGCGCGTTACTGGAAGATGAGGAGAGCAAGGTAGAGGACGCTGAGAAATTCCAATGGGAGCTACCGGCGAAAACCTGGTTCCGAATGACGCAGACGCATGCCCTCGAGGAGCGTCGAGCAGAGCTCCAGCGGTCTTTGGAGACGCTGTTGCTACAGCAAAATCGTCGAATGTGCAACCTGCCGGTCATTCGTGACTTCCTCATGCTTGACATCTTTGGCGTGCAGGTGGCAGAACACAAGAATCTTGAGGCCGCTGCGCATTTCGAATGATGAATCTCTCTGCTGCAATGAAACGCTAATCATAACCAGAAACATACTACAAGTGCAGTAGCAACGCTAGAAAGTGGACCAGCGAGCATGTCAGACGACCTGCAAGGCTTCCATTCATCATTTTACTCTTCGGTCCAGATCATAACGACCACTTGCCAACAATCGAGAAAAATAGTACATAGACGCGAAAGCTTATCGGAAAGAACTCCGTCGAATCTGCGCTTGCGGTAGAGCTCCACTAAAAAAAATCTTTTGAACATGTAGTATTCGCATGCATCGCCAAACCAAGTTAGTTTTTAGTTTAATACTTCGAAGTAGCTATTAATAACTAAAACGAGCGTATCTTCTCAGCGATTTACCTGCTTTAATACTATTAATATTAATAAGTACTAATGTAGGTACAGTACTACTGTACCGATACGTGGAGACTTCTTCCTTCCACATTCGAAGTCAACAATTCAAGGCTCCAATGATGGTTGTACAGCTATGATCTTCAATCGCCTTACGATGATAGTATGGTAGTGCTCTATCGCAATGCTATACATGTACACTTGTCTCCACCCATGATAACCGGTTTTTCGCGATCCACGTTTTGAGATCCGATTGTTCGGCGCCGTTCCTGTGCTGCACTACGAATCTGCCTGGAGTCCTGGGCTCAACTTGAGCCTCAAGATCCTCAGTGTACAGTATCCAGTACATAGTGCAGCAATTCTGCAAATGTGATCAGACTTGTCTAAGCTTTTTCAGTAAATTGTAAGCAAGCTCACGATTCGTGAGCTTGCTTACAATTAATTCGGACATAACAGCCGTTTCGTGAGTCACGAAACGGCTGTTATGTCCGAATTAATTCGTCCCAACCGATTTGTTTCCCCACCAATCCCATTGCGTTTTTTCACTGGAGGGGAAGTGCGTCATTCCCCGATTCCTCCTTTGTGGCAGAAGTATTATAGTTATGACCTCGTCGTCTCCATGGGTGGTGCTCAAGTTCGGCGGCACGAGCGTGTCGACCGCCGCGCGCTGGTTCTGTATTTGCGACCAAATCCGCTCGCACCTCGACTCGCCATCGTCTCCGCGTGTGTGGGTCACCATTTCGGCGTTGTCCCAAATCACCAACAAACTCACACGAGCGCTGGCGCTGGCCAGTGAACGAAATAGCAGCCACTCTGAATTGGCCACCAATATCGCGCTGCAACACTTCGCACTGGCCTACGAGGTTGGTCTGTTGCCTGCGCTAGAAGGTGTCGAGGGAAGCGTGGAGCTACACGATCGATGGCAGCAGCTCTGGATGGACAGTGTGATGAGCCACGGGGAAGACGGATCGTCGTTTTCTACTTCACCCATCGACCCGCTATTGCCTAAGACACTGCACCCGCTGCTGGAGGAGCTCAAGAACCTCATTCGCGTACTGGAAGGCATTAAACTTACAGAGGAAGCTTCGCCCGGCATCCAGGCGCGAGTACTAGCGTTTGGAGAGCTGCTGTCAACCCATTTGGGTAGGTGTATCATGGTTCACAACGGTCTCACTGACGTGGAGCGAGTGGATGCGAGAGATCTGCTGGTAAGTGACCCCACTAGTGCTAAGTCTGAGGAAGACAGGTATCTGCAGGCAGAGGTGAACCCGCGTCAGGATCGCGAACAGGCCGAAAACGCGGCAAACGGCAAGCGCATTGTGCTTACGCAGGGATTCATTGCTAGTACGATCACAGGCGCAACTTGTGTGCTGGGACGCGGAGGCAGTGACACATCGGGTTCGTTGTTTGCCTCTCTGCTGGGTGCCCAGAAATACGAGATCTGGACGGACGTGCACGGCATGTTCACGACCGATCCGCGCTACGTACCGAACGCCCGCCTCATCAAAGACTTGGACTACCGTGAGGCGCAAGAGCTGGCTGCTATGGGTGCCAAGGTGCTGCACCCGCGTTGCATCATTCCAGCGCAGTGGGGCAAGGTGCCTCTTGAAATCCGCAATACCAACGACCCCAACGGTGCGAAGACTGTCATTCACCCTGCTACAGATGCGGACAAGGCGCACCACGGTAGCCCGAAGATTTTGGCTGTGGTGAAGCGACAGAACATGACAACGCTCAGTATCACGGCGTTCAACATGTACAGTACTTCAGGTTTCTTGGCCAAGGTGTTTGCTCCGTTCGAGGCTTGCGGCATCTCAGTGGATCTTATCGCGACGTCACAGTTCTCCGTGACGGTGACGCTGGACCACATCCCTGGTGGAGTCCAGGGTGCTCCGTTCCAGCAGTTGCTCGAAGCACTCAACGCGCACTCGAAGGTGCGCGTGTTCGAGGATTGCTCGGTGGTTTCGATTGTGGGTCGCGGTTTGCGTAAGGCGCTGGCGGAGCTTGGCTGTGTGTTCAGCGTGCTTGAGAACTACGACGTGTTGCTGCTTAGTGAATCTGCTGAAGATCTCAACCTGTCATTTGTGCTCCAGCAGAAGGAGGCCGACGAGGTTGTCGCTCGCATGCACGGCTTCTTCTTCCCAGGAGATAACCAGGTGTCGCCGACTGCAGCGAAGGCTGCTGCCACAGACGCGAAATCATCGGGAGCTCTGCCACCTCTACCTCCCCACCCGACAGCTACTGCTGCCAACGGCGAGGCAAGTGTGCCGCCCGTAACTCCTACACCGGCCAACGTTGTTTTCCAACAGGCAACTATTCGCCGATCACCGTCACGTGACTTGTTGTTTGGCCCCACGTGGCAGTCTTTGCTCGATGGGGCGCAAACCAACTAGACTTACACGCAAGCCGACAGGTTGAAGCCACATTCAGTGGCACAAATTATCTGGACGGTTGTATTTCATGTAGATAGAGGCCCTCGACTGGTAAGTTTGTTATGAGAGCACCGTTCGTGTGGCAATAAAAACATACTACGTAGTACTACGTATTAGTATTCTGGAACCACAATATGTTTCGTACTACATGTAGTAGAAGCCAGCTCACGCGTCGCTGTCACTCTCATCATAGTCATCATCCTCCTCAACATCTAATGCCCGCGCTTTAGGCATCGGTGTTGTAGGCTTGCCAGTGACAGACACGGCCAAAGCATCATCACTATGTATCTTTCCTTTGCCAGCTAGCTGTGCTTTCTTTCCTAGCGAAGCTGTTGCTGTTGCAGCTGATTCTGTACTTTTCGCTTTTGCTGTTCGCGCTTTCTTGGAGGGTGATCTAATCAAAGCCCAAGCTGAGTCATAAAATCTACGCATTCCTAAAAGATACAGCGACTCACTTCATGGTAGAAGTCTTGCGAGTCCGCTTCTTGCCCCCACGAGCTGGTTTGTGGTACTTGGCATCGCTCTCGTCAATGGCCACCACCTTGTCGCGCAGGAAATTGAGCTCTCCACAAGCCAACACGCTCTTCTTTCTGTAGTGGCAGCACGTCATACACTCGTCAAATACTGAAGCGCGATGCCACTTCAACATCGCACGCACAATTCAGCTGGTGTCAGCCCGACTCCTTCCACTGCTTGCTGCTGCATTTTGGTGGCAAGGTCCTTCACAAATATTTGCACGGCCGAGGCTGATAACTAGTTGTGAGTTCCGTTCGTGTGAAGACGGCTACATTATGTGTGCTGACGTACAGCACGCGAAAACAGCGGCCTCGCTCACTTGGCCCATGTCCTTCTGCTCTTTCAGCAATCGCTTCACGCGGCTCTAAAAAAATCGAAATCGTTGCATACGTTCAGCTCAATGCAGCCGCTTACTCAAGCCGCAGCGCCGTCACCTTGAGCAGATCGCGCTGCTTCATTGTCAATGACAATTTGCTGTTGGTTGCTGTCGGTCAAAACGTACCCATATCTGTGGTACAATGGGTACAAAGGGTACACAGTCACCTCAAATTACAACGATGTTGCCAGGTCCATGGCGTCAGCAGTTGAGCTCGCTGCAGCGTCGAGCCCGGAACCGCCACGCTCGTATCCTATTGACATCAACTCGCTCTTTTACCTCTGCTCCATCGAGTTCTAATGGTGATGCTGAGTTTGCTCTGGGTGTCAAGTATCTGCTTGGCAAATCTGAAGACGCCGGCGAAGTGGGAAGCACCACGTCGGTGCTCGGCGCCGTGCTGCACTGGACGAACGCAGCGGGGATGGGCCATGTACGTGCACAAGGGGCGCTAGGCAGTTTGTATCTCAAGGGTCACGCCGGCATTCCGCGCAACGTGGCCCTAGCTACGCAGTTTCTGCAGCAGGCAGCGGACGCCGGCCACGACGGCAGCTGCCATGAGATTGGAAAGCTCTTTTTCCAGGGAAACGATGAAGTTCCGCGTGACTTGGAGCGTGCACTTCACTATTGGACCCAGGCGGCGAAGAGTGGCCACATGGCGGCCAACTACGACCTGGGTTACATGTACGCACAGGGACTGCACGTGACCCAGGACGACGACAAGGCTGTGCAGCTGTATCGCCAAGCAGCCAAGCAGAACATGCCCGAGGCGCACCGAGCGCTCGGCAATGCCTGTTTACACGGACGTGGTGTGGTTAAAAGTGCCGAACAGGCAGTGACACACTTCCGTCATGCGGCCGAAGCTGGTAACGCTTTGGCCCAGTTCGATCTTGGCGCCTGCTACATGCTTGGTCGTGGGATCGAGCAAGATCACTCCAAGGCAGCGCAGCTTTTTTTCTTGGCAGCGGAAGGTGGCGTTCCTCAAGCGCAACTGTGCCTGGCGCAGTTGTTTGAAACCGGCCATGAAATTCCAGCAGATTACGACAAGGCCGTGCAGTACTACCAGTTGGCGGCGAAGGGCGGACTGGAGGAGGCGACACAGGCACTTGATCGTCTTGGCGCACCTCACCAACCGGCACAGTAAGCACAATACATACAAAACGCTGTTGTGAAGCGTCTGGAAAATCAACACATATAGACACTGATTGGATTCTGCTTTTGCATTCTCTTTTGAACGATGTGTGGGTCGCACCCGTCGGCATCTCTCCTGTCCTGCAACCTCTGTCCCGCCTGGAGCTACTAAAGGCAACTGGCGTTGACTGTAAGTGTGCTGAGCAGAGGTCGAGTTGAGGCGCGTCGGTCGAAGATGGGGTGGTTCAATACTTTATCTAGAGGCTAGCGCGTGCAAAAAAAGGAAGACGAGAACAAATATTAAGTCGAGGAAATTGGAGACAGGCAGCAAGCGTTGCTGCAGCAAACACGCACAGATCAAGCCACGCCCCAACGGTTTGTCCGCGGCTTGTGGCTTACGCTTCTAGAACGAATTCCGCGACCCAGTACCTGGCTTTTTCTTCTGCTTGATTTCGGCCTCCGCCACGCTGTGCAGCCGAATGACGCTCGGCTGACTCGGATTGTATTTCTCCGCACCCATGGACCAGTCGTACGACAGCGTGTAGGCAAAGATATCGCCACGAGCGTTGAATTTGCCGGTTGTGATCGACTGGTTGCTGAAGTATAAACACGCAGAATTCAGTTAGCAAAGTACACAACGTAGAGCAGTTTACGGCTGCGTCGTACCATTTGTTGAAAGTTTTGAGCTTCTGCCGAGCATCTTTGTCCCAGAAGCAGAATGTGCCGTCTCCGCCTGTCGTAGAGAACGTACCGAATGGATGAAACGCGATGCTGCTCACGGGGTAAATATCCGATCCGTCGCGGTGGCACTTAAACGCAAAGTCGTTCCTGTAGTCACAGTATCGTAGGCGTAGGTGTATACACGTCAAAAACAGCCTCGAGTTGTTTCGTCACAGCACGCACCTCTTGTCCTTATCCTCAACGTGCTGAATTGCGCAACGTCCTTCGATCGATCCAATCGCGAAACCCGAAGCATCCGGGAAGCACGAAATCGTTCGCGTCTGGAACTTGAGGTTCGACTGAATCGACTTGTAAATCTGCGACGGTTTGCGAATGTCAAAAATGTGCACTTGGCGGTCGGCTGTGGCCACAACAAGCAGCGGGTGCTTAGCATCCATGGCATAGCACCGCTCCGAGAGCTGCACTGAGGCCATGGGCGTGGGGGACCGCGTGTCCCAGTATTTAAGCGTCTTATCCCAGCTACCTGTGGCTACGCAGTTGGCCTCCTGAATGGCAGCGATGCTGCGGATCGGTGCGTCGTGCTGAAACGTCAACTTCTGCGTCAGTCTTTCCACCCTTAACTCCAACAGCCAAATACCGCAATTCTACTCACCGCGGCAATTTGCTGGCCCTGCGCAGGTCCGTTGAGCACCCACATTTTCGCTGTCTTATCACACGATCCTGAAAACACTGTGCTGCCATCCTAGAAGTAGACCAAACAAACACGACAGGTCATAAGCTAAAGATCCCGATAGCAATGATCAAATTATTGTAGTTGTGCACGCACCCCACTGAAAGCCGTGCAGAGGACGGGACCCTCGTGTGCAATCTGCGCCTTGGCAACGGCATTGAACTGGGTCCCTTGTTGCTGCACTTCCCAGCAACGCACGTAGTTGTCCCAGCTGCCCGACACCAGCACGTTGCTCGTTGGACTCCAGGCCAGGTCCTGGATACCATCGTTAATGGTCTCACCGATAGTGTAGTCGTTGTTCGGGTTCAGGTACCCGCCGGCCTGCGCTGGCTGTCCGAAAGACATGCTGCTCGATCCCTTCGGTAGGAATTGCGTGGGTGGAAGCCGTGCCGGAATGAGCGCTAAGCTGATTGGCTGAAACCTTTTTTTGAGGATTTTTATTGTGATTTACTTTTGTATTCTTGTGCATAGTTTTACTTCTTTTGGGTTTGTTCATTTCCTGGCGCAACATGGCCGAAGGGAAGCGGAAGGACACACGGACGCACTTGACGTTGCAGCAAAAGGCCAAGCTACGCGCCTTCCTGGTGGCCAATCCCGGCCTACCCCAATTCGCCGTGGCTGATTGGGTGCGTGAGCAGTTCCATGTGCGTCTGGGGCGTACAACGCTCTACCGCATCCAGCACGCTCCTGAGAGCGCTTTCACGACCGGGAATCTCAGTCGCAAGAAGCAGCGGCGCGTCAAATTTCCGGAGTTCGAGCGCCGCCTACTTGAGTTCTACGAGGAAAGACGCGCGCGGAGAGAGGACGTGTCGGACGATCTGCTGCTGCGCCAAGCAGCAGGGTGTCGGGCCGCCAGTGGCATTAGTGAGGATGAGCTCAAGCTCTCGAATGGATGGCTTTACCGTTTCAAGATTAGACACCAACTCACAGGCACTCCGCCGCAGCTCGGACAACAAGATGAAAATAAGAATCAAGAGGATAGATCATTTGAATTGGAGCTGCTACCAGTAGTAGGAGCACCTTCGAGTGACGAGGATAGGGGGCCAGTAATCCTGTCGGCACGAGCACTAACGACGGTGCAAGCCCCTGGGTTTCTCAATTGGGAACCTGTTGGTGAAGTGCAGCAGGACCAGGTTGTTCTCATCGCGGATGGGATTCTGCTGCAGCAGTCGGGATTGTACCAACTTAGTGTGCAAATAAAACACACTGCGTCTACGACTGGAGCTCCAGTCGCTTTCATTTTCAAGGTTTATTGTGGTGATCGGCTTGTCGGGCATTGCGACTCCAACACGTCCGTGCAGAACGACGTCGCCAATAGTATCTGGGTAGACACCAACTTGCTCGTCAGTGCCCAAGCAGTGCTGAAAGTGGAGTTCCTCGCGCCTGGATACGCGTTCACTGACAGCAGTCTCGTGTTGCGTCGACGACTACTATAGTCTGGGTACTTAAAATTGCCATCATTTTTTATTGAAGACTTCATTTTAATGCAGATCGGATCAACTTGGATATAAGCGGCGGCTTTATTAGGGGAGTAGCCGCAACACCAGTCGACTGTCATTATAAACTACACCAGGTGCATGGTACTCAACCCGGATAACCGTTTGTGCTGACAGAGTGCGATTCAGCTGCAGCACACTTAGAGATCGACCACCCTCACTTCGGACAGAATGCTCGCACTGGCCAAGCATTTCCACTCCAGCCCACACCTTGAAAATTACTGGAGAAGTATCTGGCGGCGACCAAGTGTGTTGAAGCTCCACGTTGATCTGGTAACGAGCGTCGCGTAAAGTGGAGACAGAGTCGTTGACCACAGAGAAAATGCTCTCATATGCCATTCCGCTGTGCAGCTTCCACCTTACAAACCCTACAGACGCCACTGAGTCAGCAGCAACTGCTGAGAGATATGTCAGCGGCAGTACAACAGCATTCGGGAGACTAAGTGTTTCGGCGGCTGCGTTGTCTAATGCAGTTGAAGCATCGCCACCAAAGGCCAAAGACTGCTGAGTGCTGCTTGCCATATCGGTGATGCTGATCGCGATTGTCTCCTCTGAAGCATTGAGGCGATCAACACCGCACGCTGCCTGTGAAATCTGAGCACACAATTGGCCAGTCGATTTTTTTCTTGGCGCGGCTCTCGGTTTCCGCTTGGGCTTTTCAGACGCGCATTGCGTGACTTCTCCCGTTACTCCAGTTGTAGTCTCTGTTGTCACCATCTCCCCTGCCGCGTGCGGAACGATACGTAGCGCATGCCTCTCCTTGAAGCGGTGCAGCCATCCGTTGCTTAACTTGAGTTCCGTCTCTGAGATACCACGCCGCGCCCGTAGCTCTGCGGCGGCTCTCAATAGCGCTTCGTCTGAGAGAGCCAAACCGCTGCTGTCACCGATTCGTCGGTTTTCCTCATAGAAGAACAGTATGTCTTTCTCCAACTCCGGAAACTTGACGCGTCTACCCTTCTTTTTCTGCGCGTTCCCGGCAAAAGTCTCGACTGGCGCGTGGTAAATGCGGTAGAGCGTCGCACGACCCACAGACACCCCAAAGCGCTCGCGCACCCAGTCCACTACCGCCGGCAGCTGTAGGTCTGGGTGCTCGCTCCAGAACTCCTTAAGCTGCAGCTTCTGCGCATTGGTTAGGAACGTCCGCTGCTTCCGCATCGTGTTTAGCTCGACAGGATCAGAATGGAATCAGATTATCCACAGTTACACCGAGTCAAAGACTGACTGTTAATGCACTGGTACCCTGAAAACTGCCCTATACCGGTGGCTATTTAGGAAGCAAACTGCATTTGGTGCTCGCGGTTGGTGCAGCTGACAGTGAAGGCATGACGCCCCGCATAACGTTACTTGAAGAGTGACGTGGCCATTTTTAGTTCAAGACGTAGGAACGCATACCCTGATGTAATTGCTGAAATAGATTCATAATGATTGTGTTATTGCTAAGTAGCTGGAGATTAAACATTTTATACACCTGCATCCACGATATGATTACGTAGATGGGAGAGCTTGCCTGCTCTTTAGAAACTTAAACTCGCCAAGTCGAGGAGCTACGTCTGCGTATCGCTTCTCTTCTTTCTCGTCGGCATGTGCCGCTCCTTCTACCGCGCTCTGGCCGCCATTACGCTAGCGGTCGCGCTCTCCTGCATCTCCGCGTCGCCCTCCGATGTCTCCGAGGCTCGAGCGTCTGGTACTGTTTTCGCTGCTACCTACTGCTCCATTTTTTCTTCTTACTCTCTTGCTGCTTCTTTCAGACGCGATCGCGCCACCATCGCCGCTCGCTGAGGCGTTGCGACGTGTTCAGACTGATAATGCGGCCGTGCGTGACCTGAGCTATGCCGCACTATCGCCACTGGTTCCGCGTGCTGAACGCCGTGATGCGCTGGTGCAGCTGGGCGACATGTACTTCTACGGGAACAGTTCTCTGGACACGAGCGTTAACGGCACTCTGGCCTTGGGTCTGTACGCCGAGGCAGCGGCTCTGGGTGCGCCCAGAGCGCAGTTCCATGTGGGCGTGGCTCTGAGCTACGGACTCTGGGGATTCCCGCTTGACGAAGCGGCCGCCATGTCACACTACTACTTCGCTGCTCTGGGCGGAGATATTGGAGCTGCTATGGCGCTCGGACACAACCACCTGCTGGGCCTTGGAGCCCCGAAGAAATGCGAGTCGGCCGTCCGCTACTATGAAGTGGCGGCCAATGAGGCTGTTGCGAAAAGAGAACAGAATGTCAGCCATCCGGCCATCTACGACCTGCCACATCGTCGTCTCAAGACTGTAGCGGAGACGCAGCACAAAAAGAATTTGCCTGGCGACAGCGCGATTGTAGACTACTACCAGTTCTCGGCAGACAAGGGCGACCCGGACGCCACGCTCAACCTGGCAACGCTGTACTTTTACGGCGCTCGTGGCCTCGCACAAGACGTGGAACGCGCAGCAACACTCTTCCAGAAAGCCTATGACCTGGGAGCTAGTGGAGGAGCTTACCACTTGGGACACATCTACAGTCTTGGCATTGGCGTCCCACAGAATAACGCCACGGCGTTCAAGTACTTGCAGGAGGCTGTGAATGAAGGGAACACGGCAGCACAGAATGAACTGGCGAACATGTATTTGCTGGGGAAAGGCATTGAACGAGATGAAGAACAGGCAGTGTCTCTTTTTAAGGCTGCAGCCAAGCAGGGCAGCATGGAGGCATTTTACAATCTGGGGGTTCTACATATGCGAGGTGGTGGGTCAACGGGCGCTATCCTCGCCACAGAGCACCCCGAATACGAGGTAGCGCATGGGTACTTCCAGGTCGCTGCTCACCAAGGCCACACAGTTTCTAGTCACAAGCTTGGTCAGATGAGTCTGCACGGTATCGGCACAACTCGCTCTTGTAAAAATGCTGTTGAGTCGTTCAAAATGGTGGCAGAACGTGGCGAATGGGATCGCGTGCTCACTCAGGCATACCGAGACTTTAAACGTCAGGACTACGAGGCGTCTTTCATGAAGTATGCCGTTATGGCTCAGCAAGGCTACGAAGTCGCACAGCACAACGCTGCGTACTTACTCGACTATGATTTCCTGACCCCGTCGGTGTTTTCGCCCATGCTATCGCTGACTCCTTCGGACATGGAGCTTAAGGAGGATGTGGTAGCCTCGACTGCTGTCATGCTCTATAGGCTGGCAGCGCAGCAGGGCAACGTAGATGCCAACCTGAAGATCGGGGACTACTACTACTTCGGGAAGGGCGGCCACCCCGTGGACTTCGTGAAGGCAAGTGCGCATTATTCTCTCGCCAGTAAGCGCTCCAATGCGCAAGCCATGTTCAACCTCGCGCTCATGTATGAGCACGGAATCGGTGTAGACCAAGACTTTTATTTGGCGAAGCGCTTCTTTGACAAGGCACGCATAGCTCACAGTGACGCTAGTGTACCCGTGACTCTTGCATTGTGGAAGTTGCGTGTACACAAGTCGCTGCGGTCGTGGAAGAGATGGTGGGATGAGCTTGTAGGCAACGCGCCGCTTTCCACAAAGGTTGCGCCTTCATCCTCGGTGTCGTCGACTGCTGCGTCACGCACTCAGGACAAAGCAGCTGGCACAGAATCCGAAGCGAGCGTTTTTCTGTCTTCGTTGCTGAAGAAATGGTGGCCTGGGGATTTGCATTTAAGCTCGGCTTCGTTTCCGCTGGACCTGATCTCAAACTGGCGCGAGATGTTGCAGTCCGACAACTTTCTCATCTTTGTGTTGACGATCGCTCTCGGGGTCGTTCTTTACATTCGCTCCGAGCGTCAGTATTTACAAGCGCCGCCTCCGCAGCAGCAACCGCACTAAGTCTAGTCAGTAGAGAAGCAAGACGAAGACGAGCTGGGTGAAAGCCAAACGGCAACAACGGTATGATTATTGCATTTGATGGGAGTTAGTGCACTTCTTGTTGTGTCTGTAGTGGATCTGGATTGCTCTTCTCAATGTAGGAATCGCGCCGTTCTTCCAATTTCTGTTCGAGCCGCTGGAACATTTCTTGCTGTGCATGTAGTGAACATTTGAGATCCGTCATTTTGGCCTCAAGCTGCTGGAGTTGCTTCTCGCTGTTGTCTGCGCGTTGTTGCTCTCGTTTGAGAGCCTCCACCACCACGGGCATCAATCGTGCATATGCCACGTACTTGAACCCGTCAGCGTCAGTGGACACAACTTGAGGTGCTGCTTTCTCCACTTCTTGAGCTATGAATCCCAATTCACGTCGGCCGTCGAGCGGAAATTTGCTAGGGAATTCTGCCGAGTTGTACGCATACTCGACACCACGCAACTGAGCTACAACGTCGGACGCGTTGGTGATCTGGTGAATGTCGCGCTTGAAACGCTCGTCCGATGCATCCACATAGGCTCCTGAGCCCATTACTTGGCCATCCACAGTCACACTTGCCCCAAAAAAGGCCTCGTCCTCGACAAAAAGCTCACCCTGGACTTCCACCATCTCGATGGCCGTCATGTTGACGTTGCTGATGTGACCACCGACGATTTCTACGCCTCGCAGCTCGCTTTCACGCATATCGATGGAGCCACGCATGCGCTGGGTCTCAATTTTTTCAGCACTCAACGTCCCCGTGGTGGCTTCAAAGCGTAGACCGTCATGCTGCTCCAAAATGCCACTTTTGCCGTACACAGCCACAAAGCCAGCACGTTGTCCAGCCACTTGAACAGACTGCACCGACAGCGTGATTTCGCCCAAGTTGAGATCGTTTGCAGCTTCAAAAGTCTTAACGCCTGTGAGTGACGACGTGTCAAAAGCTGCCGCAGTCAGTGGACGCCACACGCCGCCGTCAAACACGAAAATGGCTGCAGCACCGGCTGCTACGTTCAGTTCGCCACCTAACGGTTGTTCGTCGTCGTTCTGGATGACAAGCAATTGACCAGCGTAGGCATGTTCACGATCGATACTCGCTCTGTTTGGAGAAGCGACTCCATCGTTGGTGATCTGAACATAGCTGTTGGTGCTTGGGATGACGAGTTCATTGGAGGCGCGAAGTTGAATACTCGAAAAGACTGCCTGTGCCTGAGCCACCAGAGCTCCGTTTGTAATAATCCGCCCCCCGTCTGTTGTAATGACGTCTCCGTGCGTCTCCAAGTTGCCTAGTGAGTCCACGGAGAACACGCTCTCTGGCTGGGTCGTGTGGCTATTAGGATCGGTAGGTTTTAATGCCTCAAGAATACGGAACGGCGGTGTATCGCGACGATGACGAGTGAGGTCAAAGCTCAGCAACGCACCTGCAAAGTTGGCGTTGGTCGACGTCACATGAAGTGCTTTACCGTTCACTTGCTCAGTTTTGACGGATAGCCCACCATCTTCGATTGAGAAACCATCTCGCGTTGTGAGGCTTCCAGACTCGATCTGGATTCCGCCAGACTCCACACGTAGGCCACCTGACGTGATCGTTTGGCCTCCGGATGCGATTGTAACACCACCAGCAAGAACATGCACTCCACCACCGTGCACTACCGTCGAACCCGAATCAAGCACTTCAAAAACCTTACTTTCGCTGCTTCTGCTACCTCTAACCTCGATTAGCGGACTTGAAGACATGCCATCACTGCTGTCACGCTGTAGCAATAGTACCGGACCAGCAGGTGCAGTAAGCGTTGTCTGGCCATTTTTCAGACTTAAAGTTCCAGAGCGCACAGCTAAGTTGCCGCTTTGGACGTCAAGTCCTCCGCTCATCACTTTGATCCCGTCCGAAAGCACCTGGATACCACCGCGCTCGAGTCTCAGACCACCTTTAAGAATTTCTAGCCCGCCACTGTGGATGACGGTCTGTCCTGCGCCACTAACCCGCAGAATGGGACCTTTGGGCTGCGAAATGCGCATGTAGTCTGGGAGTGTTGACAATTTGGACGTCGAGGCTGCAGAAAGTCGTTCAACATTGAGCAAAGCAGCACCGCTGACAAAGGTTTCGGTGGCCGTTTGCAGCTGCAAATGTAGCGATGTATCTTGAAGGCGCGCACGCCCGTCTTTCATCTCGAAGGTGCTGTCTTTTTGTAGTTGAAATATACCACCGCTCATGTACAACCCGCCTCCTCGAAGTTGCAATGATCCGTGATGCCAAGTAGTATCACCACGTCCATTCATGGTAAAAACAGCTTGTCCGCCTCCTGCTTCCGCGCGGACAAGGTGGAATTCGGAGGACAAAGCTCGCGTCGCTGATAAACGCAGAACATTTCCCTTGAAGAGTGGACCCAGCGCCGGTGCAACCAGAACATCTTCGTCATCCTTGTTATCTCCACAGTGATCACCGTAATACCCCTCATGGCAAGCACAAACTCCCGTTTCAGTGTTACAGTCGCCGTGCCCACTGCACTCTTCATAGGAATTCACGTTGGCATCGATGATGCTTTCAAACACACACTGTACTGACCCCGACGAGGATGAAAGCTGGACATTGGTTGTGTCACACCAGAACTCTGACACTGGAGGGTTGCCGTAATGATAGTATAGATTGTTCATGATTGGAAACGTGGGAAATGTGCGAAGCGTGATGTCAAATGTGGCCGACGAAGATCCATCAAAAGCTCCTTGTTCGCACGTCTGAGGATAGTTGAAGTTAGTGTTGATTCTCATTGTGAAGAGGGGTGTACTCTGGGACGGCCAAAAAATTACCTACCAACTCTCCCAGGTTTTGGAAACGCCGGAAAATACTTGTGCAAACTTCGCTCGTCACCTGGTCGAGCGGCAACTCGAACTCAACCGTGTGCGCCTGGAATGTTAGCGCCAATGCCCCACCCACGATTAAGGCACCGCCGGTCGATGCGATCCGCAAGCGAATCTTCTTATTCTCCTGTTGGGACGACGTCGGGTTGGCTCCATGCGGACACAACCCTGCATCACAAGTAGTGCAACACAGTGTTAGTGGTGAAGCACACCGCCATTATTAGAACGAAGGGTGAGCTGCTCACGCACTTATGGAGCAGTCAGGCGAGCTGTACCCCCACTGGCAATTGCACACGTGCTCTCCCTGTCGGTTGATCGCACATACGCCATTTTGCGAGCACTGGTTGCCTTGGCCTGGGCAATGGGTCCCCTTCAATTCTATGGCTCTTGCAAATCCTCCCCCAGCTAGTAGCAGAGCGATGCAGAATACAATCGTTAGAGTGGTTCGCGTCATAGTGCGTCGCCGAGACGGGAGTCCTTCCATAGCTTGGCAGGTCGCAGTCAGTGCTGGCGAAAAGATCTGCTACACCGTTTCGTTAAAAAAACACGGTGGCCCACACAGTAGTGGACGTCTGGTGGCCGGGAATGGGCTGCCAAAATTTAGAATAAGGCAATGAAAAAGCTAAAAAAGTAGATCAGAACATAAAATGGCGAAGCGCTCTATTTTTGCTGATATTTTCTGAACGGCAATGAAAAAGCTAGAAAAGCAGATCAGAGGCTCTGACTCAGAGCATAAAATGGCGAAACGTTCTATTTTTTGCAATGGCACAAAACCATTTTGATATTTTCTCTGAGCCCTGATGCAGTTTTTCAGGTTCGTTTTCTACTGGCAACCGCGTTCTTCTCGCATGCCTTTACGACCAAGTTTGACTGCAACGTCATGTTTTGCACATTTGAGTACGTCCCTGTGTGCGGAACTGATGGCACTACATACCCCAATCGGTGTGCGCTCGCGATCCAGGCTTGCAACGACCCGGCAAGCCATCTCGATATCAAACATGAAGGCGTGTGCTAACACCATCAAGAAAAAAAAAACAGGGGAAAAATAGCTGTTTATATTAAATGAACTCCTAGGCTCTGTCAAAATTTCTCACTATCGATCTACTGTATTACGCGTTGCAACCGCAAAGAAGCCACGGTACTTTGTTTTCTTCTCGTCACTTTGGCTTTATCTTGAAGGTTTGTCGTATAATTTTGGCGTATCGGGTATGGCTGCAGGCTTCAGCGTTCCTATGAAGTTCGACGGCTCTGATAGTAACTGGACATCGGTGAATCCCGCCGACTGCTTTGTTGCTGTACTGTCGTCTGTAACTTCGTTTGCCATTGAGTATTGAGTGTCTACTGTGCCCTGATTTGCTTCGGACTTCGTTGCTGCTGGAGTGACTGCAGGCGTAGGTGCATCCGAACTCCCAGTTGTTGACCCCTCCGTAGTTCCTGAGGTTGGAGCTGGTGATGGCCCTGGAATTGACGCTACTGAACCCGGTGTCGAACTCCCCGTGGTGTCCATTGGATCGGACCCCGACTCGTCCTCTGATGTCGGTGCCGGAGTTGGCTCCCATTCTGACGAATCTGTTGCGTCCGACGTTGCGCTGCTCGATGGGGCTGGCGTGGATTCGAAGGCTGAATGATTCGTGGTGTCTGTGGTTAGCTCAAATTCTGTAGGATCTGCAGTATGCGATGCCGAGCCATCCTCGTTGAATGAAGGTGAAAACTCATCAGTCTTGGATGAAGTCGGGGCTGGTGTGATGTTGAGTTCTGTAGTGCTCGACGATGAGCCCGCCCCGTCTGGCGTGGCATTGGACATCGAAGCATCTCCGGAGTCTTGTATTTGCATTCCTGTAGAATCGGATGACGACGCGCCTTCAGTTACTGAGGTCGTTTCTGGTGCTAGTTCCGATGCCGATTCGTTGGTCGAATCCGAGCTTGGAGCAGGCGTTGGATCCGAGACCGATGTGGGCGCTGGAGTGGGCTCTGACGTCGGTGCAGCCGTGGGATTTTCGGTTCCACACGCAAACACCACCGTCACTTTAGTCACCTCCACGAACCAGCTGTCATCGTAGTCCTCATTTCCATCGAAGAACGACTCAGCATCAATGCTTGAAGCTGAAGCTTCCTCTTCCTCTTCGTCATAGTCCCAGGTTTCACACTGATTGACTGGAGAAGCTGGAGCAGCCGTTGTAAGTGCTTGGCCACCACATCCTACCGATGGAAGTACGCAGCCCCATGTCTTGCCGTTCACTAGTGCACACACCGCGTCTTCGGGCGCCACACAGGCACCACTGTCGTATGATGGTAGATTTTCGAAACAATCGACGCTCGCTTTGTCGCCTTTTAGCGGGCAGGACGTGCCTTGAGGGACGGGGTCCGCCGACGCGCAGATGACTCCTCGGTCCTCTGGCAGGTCGTACGTGGCGTCGCCGCAAACGCTGACTTCCAGCGCTTGCGACGGTGTCGCGAGCGCTACTAGCGCCGTGACCAAAGTCACAAGTCGCATTTCACTATCCTCACCAATTTCGATGTGAAGAAATGCGGCCCAGTCACTGCAGTCCCATCAACGAAGAGAATTTTGCCCTCATCACGGTGGGATATTTACCTCCAGACTCCACAACGAACTCCACAACGAACGCACACTCTCCCATTGGCTAAAATACGTCCGTTTCATCTGCTTGCCATTTACAAAAAGGCCGACCACCGTACACATGACCTTGTCGACGCGTTCCAGCATGCATCGTTGCAGCTGCAGCAGCCCTTTTCGGAACAGAAGTCCTGCCGCCGCCCATGACGGACCTGCAGGACGTGAAGGTCAATGGAGAGGACTTGCTGCCCGATAGCGGCCGCAACTGGAGCCCGGACGTGCTGCTGGAGCTCGTGAAGATCTGACGCTGTGTCCTGGCGCATCCGGACTGGAGTCGCGTGCAGTGCGGCGAGTCGACCTAGTCTAGTGTGTTGGGAGTGCTATGAGCTGGGAATATGGGGTGTGCTGCTCCTGCGCTGCACCATCAAGGCGACGATTCTTCGTGGGTCTACCGCATCAGTCAAGACAGAGTCCGTAGTAGTGATTGCATTAAATTCTGCGCTGAGGTTAATTATGAATGTGCTGGACTTATACGCAGTTGTGTCGTACCTTGTGAATCGGAAATACGTTTACACTGGATGGAAAGTGGGCAAGCCGCAGCATATCTGCAGTGACTTTAACATGAGGAGCACCTTCCGAGCTCAATGGGAGGACCAACGTGGGCTCTTCAATGATCAAGTCTAATACAACGCTGGCCTCGTCCTCGCGGAGCAGCATTTGAGTGGCGTTCATTAGAGTCTGGCTCACCATTGCTTCAAGTACCCCTTCAAGTTTTGGTTGTTCTCGAGCCGTACAGACTTGTTTGTATTCAGTGCAGAGTCATTGATAAATTTCCCAGCAATATCAGCATTTGCGAAAGCAATGTGAAGGGAAATATCGCTGTAGCCATACTCTCCCAATAAGTCAATCGGCATCTTACTTCTCCAGCGCGAATTCGTGTAGCTACGTACTCCTATCTTCCTAAAAACAACTTTTGAAACGGACGTATTTTAGCCAATGGGAGAGTGTGCGTTCGTTGTGGAGTCTGAGCTGCTTCGTTGAGGTAAATATCCTTCGTTTTGCCGGCGAGCTCTATGCGAGCAGCTGGCGTATTAATAGCGGACGTGAACCATCTGACAAAGTACATGTACATGTAATTTTGACAGGATACCGGTAGAAATACCGTATTAATAGCAACCTTTAATTGTGCCTGAAGTACTTGTAGTTATGTCCCATGCGAGGATTAATCTTCTTTCTCGCCCAGGGCAGCTGACACCCTTTGTGGCAGCGTCAACACCTAGGTGGTGCGAAGCCCCGGAGGCGGTACGGAGAGTCTACCAGACAGCTACTGGCCGTAGGTGTGAGCTATAAAACTTACCTGCGTGTCGAGCGCCAGTGCATTGCAGTCTGCCAGTGTCCGGTGCCCCCATCTACGAGCCACCGTCCACTGCCAGTGTCTGCAAAGACACATCCCAAGGACACTCATGCGCCTGGCAGTGCAGCTTGCGGCTGCACTACAACCGGCTACACTGAGTACACATGCGTGCAATGGCGAAGGACTATACCAAGGACTGTATGCACAAGGACATCGTTGGCTGTGCGCTGCCAAGATGGTGTACTCAAACGAGAGTGCATTTATCTAGAGTTTAGTATTGACTTATTTGCTATTTGTATACTAATCTACTTTTGCGGTACAGCGGTGTTCTGGCGGAGGCTGCTCAACACTTTGCGTTTTGACGCCTGCCGCTCATCAGAGAGCAGCAGAGAAGAGCAGCCTCGCCAGACACCGCAGTCCTGTCGCGGCCTTTTGCCCGGCACTTACGTGTTTACGTTACTTCCTGATTAGTTTCCTAAAGTTGACATTTAAGTGTATTTACATTTAAATGGCTCCTACTCTTAGAAGCGATCGACACATGGAGAACAATCCCCCCGTGACGAACCCTACGTTACCACTGGTTATGAGCCCAATCAGGGCGCAGTCTGCGACTGACGTGGCTGCTGGCGTTCCAGACACAAGTTCTGGAATTTCGACCAATCAAGATCAAGCTTCAACCCCATTGGCAGGAAATTCAAGCTTGAACAATGACGCAACACTGTCGCACAGTGATGCAGAACGACTAATTCGTTCATTGGCTGGAATCCCGGGTGGCCGCCCGTTATTCCAAATGTTACTCGAAAGTATGCATAAACTTTCGTCGACGAACACGGAAGAATCCGTGCCAGTTGACAATCCTCCCCGGTCGCCGCTAAACCAACAAAACGGCGACCGAGACCCTGACGATCCGTGGCGCTCTCTAGACAACATGAACCCTACTGGCCGCTACAACGACGGCGAGCTGGCTGAGTACACCAAGGGTCTCATCAACTCGCCTCCGATCAAGCTGCCCAAGCTCCATCTGAAGGGCGACTACAAAGCCTGGAAGAGCGAGGTGCCGTTGCACTTCGAGCCGAAGATGCTGGGAGACATCACCTATGGCCCTGAGCGCTACGATGCAGTAGAAGGTATGCGTCGTGACAAATATCGCGTGTGGTACAAGTCGCGCAAGAACAAGGCGTTCTCAGCACTTGCGTTGTCGCTGTCTGTTGACCTACGTACGACGTTCAAGATCGACGACATCCACGACAACATGGACGCCGCCGCTATGCTCTACGATGCGATTACGCAGCACTTTGAGGCTGGAGATGGCATTAATCCTGATTACCTACTGCAAGAGCTAGTGACGCGCCGGCTCAAGCCAAACGAGTCGGTATCGCAGTATGCTGACGACATTGCGAAGAAGGTGACACTTCTACATCAAGCTAATGGTGAGTTTGCTGAGTGGCAACATGCAAGCCTACTACTGTCGAACAGCGTGGAAGCGTTTAAAGATCTCGCCCGTGAACACGGCGATTGGCTTAACAACCATGATCGTAAGACACTTATACTTGCTGAAGCTTTACAACGACTACGCGCTGCTGAACCAGCGTGACCAGCTGCGTGCACAGACCAGACAACCGGTCGTGCATTCAATGCAAGTTGCTCATGTCGGAACGGACCAAGGACAAGGTCAAGCCCGAGGACGCAAGCGCAACAAGCAACAGCGCAAGCGATCCAAGGGCGTTGCAGACAAGAAGCAGCGCACAAACTGCGCGAGCTGTCAAGGATAGGGACATTGGTATGCCGAGTGTACGGCTCTCACTGGCCAGCAACTGAAGCCAGAGCTCGCGAGAAAGCTGCAAGAGAGACAACCAAGGGCTCCCGTGTCGCTGGTGAACTCCGTACGTCGTGTGGATGCGGTAGCGTTGGAAGAAGATGGCCAAGGACTGTTTGCTGGCCTATCACTATGCGATGCGAATGCGATTGACCTTACGGATGGTGCTGCCCTATCGCCTACGGCTACGCAATCACCTGCATGGTCACTAACGTCTCCTGCGGAAAGTGAAGAAGGAGGAGAGCGTCGTGTTGTTGAAGGGGCGCGGGCAAGTACGCAACGCACTCAATCGTCGGCTGCGAAAGGAACGCAGCGACTGCAGCTGCAAGTTGGAGTTCCTGTTTAACACATACAAGTTGGAGGACAAGGACTACAACAACGACAATCAACCTCACTGCCTACACTGCAAGCACCAGCTGTAGCTGTGCAAACAGCCATACAATCTGCGGTACAACCTGAAGTGCAACCTACTGGACAACCTGCTGTTCAACAGGGTGTACAAGCTACTGTACTGCAAAACATGCAACCTACTGTATCGAGTACTGCACAGACTCAGTGGGAGGGCAATCAGTCTACAGCTGGATTGGTACCTACGTGGGAATCAGTCATCTACTACTTGGGGCAAGGACTGTCGAGTAACTCGAAAGGGCCTACACTTGAGCCATGGCGCAATCAAGCTGAACCACAAGGGGGTTCGGCTGTGCCGGGGGATAGCTGTCGAGGTCCTGATGTCGGGTTTAACAGACGCCAAGAACCAGGGATGCGCAATGATTACAGACCTAACTTGGAGAGTGCGTACGAGAGAGGACTCTGAAGTCAAGATGTTGGACACTTTGATCCTCCTATTCAAGGACGAGGACGAAGTCGTTCACCACCCCGATTCTTCAATCGAGAACGAACTCCACCAAGAGGAAGAGGCCGTTCTCCGTCAATGCGAGGACGTGAACCAAGAGGGAACCCAGGGCGCCATCGATCTCCACCGCGTCAGCAGCAGTGGCGTAACGAGAGACCGAGTCGCTATGAGCCGCCACCCCAACGCGATGATCGACTGAGTCGCTATGGACCGTCGTCTCCGCAGCAGCAGTGGCGTGACAATCCTTCGAGAGGACGAGGACCTTCACCTCGACGTGACAATTTCCAAGGGCGGAACATGTCTCCACGTCGATTTGAAGACCGTCGTGAGAGCAGACCACCCAACTCTCGTCAAGTCAACGCTGTGAACCAGAACCAAGGTATGCAACCAGCTCAGTCTGAATTTGTGGAGTGGATACTTGATTCAGGATCCCCGGCAAATGTCTGTGGTGACCTGTCATTGTTTACTACCATAAGGGAAGACCAAGCTAGTCGACTTGACTTTGCGAATGGCACAACTGAACACACTTCTGTTTGTGGGTCTGTGCTATTGCGTGTTGTTAACCAGGCAACTGGCCAGCTCGAGGACCGTCTCCTGGACGACGTGGTGTACACACCGAACGCGAAGGTGAACATCATTAGTTTGGGCTACCTACAAACGAAGGGCAACTTCAAGCTGACATGCTCAGAGGACCAACAAACTGCTTGGATCTCCAAGCCAAGCACATCACTCAAGTTCATGATGCGTGATAGTATCTACCGACTACGTGCAGAAAGAGTGACTGGAGTGATGGTGATGGCGGCTCTAAAAGAGGACATGGACAGCAAGAAAGCCATGGAGCTGCTTCATCAACGATTTGGTCATATGAGCATGAAGACGGTGAAAGTGTTGGCAAA